ACTAGCTTTTTTTTTTTTTTTCTGTTTGGGAGTTACATGCTCTGATTTGGTTCTTTTCATGGTTACCTTCACTATTTTAATATACATACTTAACAAATTATAAAGGTAATTAGTATGTACTTTTTATCAAACTTATCTTTCCCTTTTCTCATGAGAAATTATTATTATTTTATACAATGATGTTTATTTAGATTTATCCATGTATTTACCAGTATTTTTGCTCCCCATTTCTTCTTGCATTTTTGTTTTTAAATATGGAATCATTTTTTATTCCTCCTCCATGGTGTTCATTAGAATATTTTTTAATGAGAGGCTCTTTCAGTGTTTGTTCTTTTGAATATGTTGTTACTTTATCTTTGTTTTTCTGGAAGATAGTTTGACTGAGTATGAAATTCTGGTTAATAAGTTATTGTCTTTCCTCTCAGTGAAGATATTTTAATGGCATCCTTTATTGCTGTTAAGAAGTTATTGTGAGTCTAATTAATATTTCTTTATAGATGATCAGTCTTTACTTTCATATAATGTGGCTTTATAATGTATTCAGTGAGGTGTGGCTTTCTTTTTATTATGCTTATAATTCACTGGACTCTTTTTAGATCTGAGGATTGGTTTTCATCAGTTCTCAATAATCTTTGCCCTTGTCTCTTTGAAAATTTTCACTTTCTCATATGCTTTGTGTACTGATTACATATGTGTTGTTTTCTCCTATTTAACTCCTAATTAGTATTTCATTACCTCTCCATCATATTTTTCATATCTTTGTGCTATATTCTGGATAATTTCATCAGCTATATCTTAAATTACTTGGTCTTGGTATTGATTGTTTTTAAATTATAAAATATATAGTGAAGGCAACTGAGATTTAGAACCATATTCTATAAGAATTTTAGGCATTAGAGTGAATTAATTGTATTTTCTCTCCATGGTCTATTCCAGTAGAATGATCATACCATCCTATAGAAAAATGAAAAATAAAATGCATTTCTTACATAATAAATTATGTAAATTGAGATTTATATTTATTGTATCTAAAAATTATTTCCCACAGAAATGTCTTGTATCACTTCTTAATTCAAAAGGCGAATCAAGTGCTTTTACTTTCTAAAAAGTATATTAATAATTTTAGATGGAATCAAAGGTAACTTTAAGGTTTTACTTGCATAGTTTACCTCTTATTTAGCTGTCATCATATCAAATCCTTCTAATGTGAGTTTAAAATGAATCTATTTTTTTTAAAGTGCTCCTCCAGCTGGAGGTGAACTTTATACATTTTACTACATCTTTTTTCTTTTCATTTTCAATCAGAAATTTCAGTGATTATTTTATAGGAAAGTGGCTGTAAGTCAAATACTTTCTTAGTTATTTATGTGAAAATAAATATATTACAATTATTCTATCTATTTGATTCACTATCATGACACCAGTGAACCCTAATCATTTTATTAAAATTGAAACACTTATGCTTATTTGAATTTGAGTTGCTGAATTATTTAATATTACTTTAAAAATTTAATTAAATTTCAAGAAGACACCAAATGAACAAACAAAGTCCTTTAAAGGGAAATTAGAATCATGGTCATATATTTTATTTCATGGAAAGTTCTTTTAAAAGGGGGAAAAAAAATTTAATAACAAACGCACTATAATGACACACTAATAAAAATGATATAAAAGTGTATATACACTATGTAAAAAATAGAATATGTTTTCAAAATATGTAATAGTTCAATAATCCACACAAAGGAGTATCTGTAAAATATTAGCTCTATAAAAAATAAATGAAATCATATAATTTGATAAATAATGAATGTTTGCATTTTAATTTAGGAAAGATTATCATTGTTTTCCATTTTTTTTGTGAAGAAAGGTCATCAAAATTTTACTCCTACCAATTTTCTTGAAACAAAATACTTTCAATTTACTTGTGTGTGATGGAGAAGAGGGAGTGTAAGCAGATGCGAGGAAGGTATTGTGCGGTGGCAGTTTTATTCTGCTCCAGCCTCAAGCTCAATATGGGGAACCTCTGAGCTCTTACTGTCTTACTGGTGTTTGACAAGCTATTACAGATCCTTTTCTGCTTGAATTCGTCTGGGGGTTTCTAGCTTTCACTACCTGTGTGCCCACCCCAGAACACAGTGCCTCTGAATTTGTATCTCCTCCTCTTGTGGGGAAGTTTTAGATAGTTTTGGAGGTGGTGGAAGGCTGAATATTGGTCTTTGGTTGGTGGCATCACCCTATATGGATTAAGTCTTTAAGACCTTTGAAGCTTAGAAACCAATTTATTGCAACTCAAAAGCCTTGGCTTATTAGACTCAAGGATGAGTTTGATTCCTATGCTCTTAAGATTTCTTCTCTAAGGCAGTGAGGTGGAGTCCTACCACTTACACAGGGGATGAGTCATGGCATGGTGGGACCTGAGCTGGGAGGGAGACACTCCTGATATGTACCTTTACAGTGATAATGAAACAGGAAGTAACCTGAGAGTCATTTTAGAGGCCGTGAATTAAAACAATCCTCATTTAAATATGGGGATTTATAAATATTTTTGTGTCGAAGAGGTGATAATTTAATTCAGATTTTAAGATGGTTGCTTTGGTGATAAGAGGCTTACTAGCCTATTCTTAATGACTACTGGTGTCTATGGATTTCTCTTCTTTTTTTATTAATTTATTTTTGTTACAGATGTTTCTCCTTTTTCCCTTATTGACAACCTCTTCCCAAAGTGATTGTCTCTGAATTGTAAATATATATATATTTTTTTAGGCAACAGCGATATAGTGCTATATTCTATAAGGGTTCTTTCTTTGTCCTTTAAAAATGGCTTTTGAAAACTAAGACACCTAAAATGCTGATTTCAATAACTGTTGAAATCTGACCTCTCTGTTGCATAGAATAATTCTGTTTATATGATAATTCACTTTCTTTATTTGCAGAACTGGGGCTAAAAATATAACCTGTTTCATATCCTTGACTTTCCTATAGTAATCAACATTATAAGACACTTCTTAACATTTGCGAAAGTAAATGAAGGAAAATTGATGAGTTAGTATATGTTTAATGGAGTTAGTATGCGTTCAATGACAGAACTTTTTAAGTAAGCTGGTTTGGTGGGGAGAGAAACTGGAACTTGTGTTGACCTATCTGATGTTGGATTATACAAACTAAGTTTGGTCTCGCTCGCACAGTTCTGAGAAAGGGGTCTGAGATGCTGCTGTAGTCAGGAATAGAGTTCTGATTGTTGCCACGTGATCCCTACTCATTTGCTTTTGTTGTTAAGTTGATTGTTTTTTTCTTGATGTTTTTATTCTGCAAGTACCTCTTAATGCACAGTGACAGAAGTAGAAAATGATCTGTCAAATAAACTTCATGCATACATTTAAAATCACAAATTATATTTTGGCAAGTGCCATAAACTAGACTAATGATGCAACTGTTTTCTCTAATGCCATTAATTTCTTGGTTCTGGTGGGTTTGGATTGAAAGTGCATAATTCTAAAACAGTGTATTTAAAATGTTATTATGCTTCTCTATTTTATATACATTTTTAAATATAGAAAAGTTTGCCAAATTATCAGTCTGTGATTCTAACTAAATTACTTGAATATTAAACATATTTATTTTCAATATATATGTAGATTCAGCATCACGAGCTCTATTTTACTACTTTTTCCAGGTAACATAGGCCAACTGAAAGATTTTGTCAGTTTCATTCCTATTATGATTTAATTTAGTTGGAGAATTTCAGTAGATTATACGTGTTAAAGAAGTTTCTGATAAGAAAAAGTATGCAAAATCTATTAGACATACTATATGAGCAATATTTATGAAATAGTTTAAAATATATTGGCAGTATGAAATTACTAGGTACAGTTTTTAGCCTACAGCAGTTGACTATCAAATGATTAGAAATGTTAAAATGCTTGGTATATCTTTGAAAGAAAAATCTGCAAAAGTCATATCTACCCTTGGCAAGTTGCCAAATCCATGTTATTATGGCATTTTAATGCAATTTTATTTTTATATCTGATTTTTAAATATGTTTTTGCTGTGGGAAATTACTTTCTCCAGTTGACAAATGATTAAATGAGGGCCCTTTAATGTTAGAAATAATTCTAGTATATTTATATTGGTCCATGGGGGTACATAAATATAAGCCCAAATGGTTTAACCTTTAACATATCATTTTAGGTTCATATAGGATTAGCTCATTAAATACCTTTTAAGAATCACTTTCCTCCAAATAGACATTGGGATGTAAAGTACAACAGCATAGGCAATACAGTCAATAATGTTGTAATAACTATGAATGGTGCCAGTGGGTCTGGGAAATATTGGGGGGAAAACTTAAGTATATGATTGTCTAACCACTATGCTCTCCACCTGAAATTAATACAAAATAACATTGCATGTAAAAATAATAAAAAAATAAATAAGACTCACTCATCAAAGAAAATGAAAAAGCAACACATCAATAAAAAGGCTAAGTTGTTCTAATCAATAAACTCTATAAGAATATTTTATTCTTAGAGAATACATTTTTATGCCTCCACTTATTAACAACAAAAAGAGCATGATTTTCTAAGAGACATAAAATCTTTTAAAAAATCACCTTCCCTAAAAACATGTACTACATTGACTCTCAGAAGGCATTGGAGTATAACTGAATGTGTTAGATCACATTAATTTAATAGAGTAGACAGTTTCATCCTTTGTTTGAGAAATAGTTCATATTAAAAAAACTTTTATTTAACTTTTGATTCTTTTTAATTTGGTTGACTTGTGTCAGAAATACCAAAGAATGATAGAACCAAAAAAAGGTTTCCAGGGTTATCATATGTCCTTAGTTCTTCTATCGCTTTAGAAACATTGGTTGCTAGTCTATTTTTTAATAGCTGCAGATGAAGAGATGCTGCACCACCTGTCTATAATTTTTCAGTCATAAATTCTTTCCATTAGCTCAAGTTTTTTTTTTTGTTGTTGTTGTTGTTTTTTAAATCAAGATCTCTTTATCAGCTTCCTGGGACATAAATTAAAGAATTAAGCATGTGAGTTGTATTTTTTCCTGCCAAAATGGAGTCTTCTCCCAAATTCACATGGAAACAAATTGCAGAAGCTCCCCCAGGCAGGATGAGGATCCATCTAAGAAAGCAGCTGAATCTCCCCTACCCCCCAAGGTATGAAGACCAGTAGAAACACCTGCACTTCAATTAAAGGGCTCAGTGAAGGTTTGTTTTTTGTGACTTTGTTAGAGGGGTCTGGGCTTCAAATATGCTTAAATATTCTTCAAAATAAATGAGAATGGGGCATTTTAGATGCTGATGCTGGTAAAGGCAGAGGCAGGAGAGAGCAGGGTAGAGTCCGAAGACTATTTCATTGTGATTGAATGTCTGTTGTAGAAAGTGTGGGCATAAAGAGATATCTGGGGTTCCACTTTGTTTTTTTTTTTTTTTTTTTTTTTTTTTTTTTTTTTTTTTTTTTTAATCTTTATGAATTTTTATTTATTTTTTTGTTACAGACATTTTACCTTTTTACCCCATTGGCACCCCCCACCCCACTCCCCCGTCCCCTGCTTAGTTGTCCATGTCCATTGGTCATGCATACATGCATATAAGTTCTGTGGTTTATCTCTTCCCACCCCCCAACCCCTCCCACCCCCTCTTCTGAGGGATGTCAGTCTGTGCCCTATTTCCATGTGTCTGGGTCTACTGTATTCCTCAGACTGTTATGTTCATTATATTCCGTATATAAGTGAGATCATGTGGTATTTGTCTTTTTCTGCTTGGCTTCTTTCACTTAGGATAATACTTTCCAGGTCCCTCCATGTCGTCTCAAAGGATAAGAGATCTTTCTTTCTTACCGCTGCATAGTACTCCATTGTGTATATGTACCACACCTTTTTTATCCATTCCTCTACGGGTGGACACTTGGGCTGATTCCAGATTTTAGCTATTGTAAATAGTGCTGCTATGAACATGGGGGTACATATATTCTTCCTGATTGGTGTTTCAGGCTTCTTAGGGTATATTCCCAGCAGTGGAATCACTGGGTCAAATGGAAGTTCAATTTTTAATTTTTTGAGGTAGCACCATATTGTTTTCCATAGGGGCTGCACCAGTCTGCATTCCCACCAGCAGTGTATTAGAGTCCCCTTTTCTCCACACCCTCGCCAACACTTGTTGTTTGATGATTTGTTGATGGCGGCCATTCTGACAGGTGTGAGGTGATACCTCATTGTTGTTTTAATTTGCATCTCTCTGATGATTAGTGATGTTGAGCATTTCTTCATATGTCTCTTAGCCATTTGTATGTCCTGTTTGGAGAGGTGTCTATTCAGCTCCTCTGCCCATTTTTTAATTGTGTTCTTTGTCTTCCTTTTGTGGAGTTGTATGAGCACTCTATATATATTGGAAATTAACCCCTTATCTGATACATCATTGGCAATGATGTTCTCCCATACAGTGGGTTGCCTTTCTATTTTGATGATTGTTTCTTTTGCTGTGCAGAAGCTTTTTAGTTTGATGTAGTCCCATGTGTTCATTTTCTCCTTTATTTCTGTTGCCTTAGGTGATGTATCAGTGAAAATTCTGCTCCGTACGATGTCTGAAATTTTGTTGCCTACATTTTCTTCTAGAATTTTTATGGATTCACGGGTCACATTTAAGTCTTTTATCCATTTTGAGTTTATTTTGGTGTATGGTGTAAGTTGGTGGTCTAGTTTCATTTTTTTGCATGTAGCTGTCCAATTTTCCCAACACCATTTATTAAAGAGGCTGTCTTTACTCCACTGTACGCTCTTGCCACCTTTGTCAAATATTAATTGAGCGTATTGCCTTGGGTCCATTTCTGGGTTTTCAGTTCTGTTCCACTGGTCTATATGCCTGTTCTTGTGCCAGTACCAGGCTGTTTTAGTTACAGTCGCTTTGTAGTATAACCTGATATCTGGTATTGTGATCCCACCTACTTTGTTCTTCTTTTTCAAGATTGCTGTGGCTATTCGGGGTCTTTTTTGGTTCCATATGAACTTTTGAAGTATTTGTTCTAGTTCTATGAAATATGTCGTTGGTATTTTGATGGGGATTGCATTAAATCTATAGATTGCTTTGGGTAGTATGGACATTTTAATTATGTTAATTCTTCCAATCCATGAACAGGGTATGTGCTTCCACTTTTTTATATCTTCCTCTATTTCTTTTTTCAATGACCTGTAGTTTTCTGCAAATAGGTCCTTTACTTCTTTGGTTAAGTTTATTCCTAGGTATCGTAATTTTTTTGGAGCGATGGTAAATGGGATTGTTTTTTCAGTTTCTGGGGTTCCACTTTGGATTCTTTATAAATTAGTATTCCATATTCATTTATTGAAGAATATATTTAGTATCTTAATAATTCTACCTGGTATGGTGCCTGTAATGTCATAAATTTTTTTTTTAAACATTCAGATTCATCGTGTAAGGACTTTTTTACAGTTTAAAAGAAATCTTGTCCAATTTGTCATCTTTTTTTCCTTATGTTTTTTCCTGTTTCCAATTAGTTTTTAAATATAGTGATTAATATTATTTATTAGTGTTACTTATATAAAAATAGTTAACAAATCAGTATTTATTTATGAACAAATAGCATTTGGGGCAGAGGTGCACTGCTGTTCTGAGTTGATTTAAAGAAATAATAAGGAGCATCTGGAAGTTCAAACCCAAATGATTTACCATTTACTGTATCATTTTGGGCCTGTACAGATTTAGCTCATTAAACACCTTTTAAGAATCTCCTTTTGCTGGAAGTAGAGTGGAAAAATTTCCCAAAACAGTCTTTGAAAAATTATTGTTTGCAAAAAAGATTATAGGGGAAAGGAAAACATTGAATTCAAGATAATTATAATTAGCGTGTAGCCACTTATAGTTTCTAAAGTGCTAGTGCAAAAATGATAAGAATAGAGGAAGAGAATGTTTTGAATGTAGACAAATTAATGCCAACTAAAGTGGGTTAGAATGTGTTTGTATTTTTGAGTTTGCACATGCTTACCTTGTTACTCATCCTGCTAGCACCTGAAACATAGCATTTTTTCTCTACTGTGTGTATGAGAAAAAGAAAATATATATGATCGCGTAACACAAATATCATGGCAGAATAGCAGTATATTAGATAACAGTATATTGTTAAGGCATCTGTCAATTTTCTTACACAGGCCAGGACCCATACAATACAGGCAAGTGAGGAGATAATGATTTTAAGACTGCAGATACCGGAGGCTTCTATATGTCAGAGATTTAAAGACAACAGTGACAGCCCCAATTCTGAAGGAACTGACATTCTAGTAGAAGAAACAAACTTTTAACAAATAATTAAAGTGCATGAAGTAAGTATGCCAAGTTATTTTAGAGGTACACCCGCAGGCAGGTGAGTCAGCTCAGCCTGGGATGAGAGTGGAGGAGCGGAAGTGCCGCCCTAGAGGTGTGCGGCCGAGCTGCTGAGTGCTTGGTCAAGGTGCAGTGTTCAGGAGGGGGAGGGAGATTTTCCACGTGGAGCATGGTGGAATGCAGTGCCCCTGTGTGTAGGCTTGGAGGCATAAAACAGCATGTAGTCTGATATTGCTGGAACATCTGACTTGAGGGTGGAGGAGCAGAAAGTGATTGTGGAGAAGCAAACAGCATTCGAGCAGGTCATGTTTTACTCGGATGCCATCCTGAGGTTGTTGGAAAGACCTTCAGAGATTCCTTATTGCCTTCATTTTAATTAGGGGAATAAACTCATCAGATCTGTTTTTAGAAATAGAATTTGCCCTGACCATGTGGCTCAGTTGGTTGGAGTGTCGTCCCGGACACCAAAAGTTTGACGGTTCACCTCCTAGTCAGGGAACATACCTAGGTTGCAGGCTCAATCCCTGGTAACTGATCGATGTCTCTCTCTCTCTCTCTCTCTCTCTCCCCCCATCAATAAACATATCCTCAGGTGAGGATAAGAAGAAATATTATTTATGTAGATGTGTTAGATGTGTGGAAAGAGGTGACTAGAGAGAGAAAAGACCAGTGTCCTTTCATCATTGAAAAAAATACTTATTGGTCCCCACAATGGCTTGAGCAAGGTCCTGGGGTTACAAAGCAAAGCATACCTTTGGTGGTCCTGCTCACAGGATAGCAAGCACACCAACATTTCGGCAAATTGGAATATGGTATGGAAAGGTCTATAGTCATAGCAGTTGTTTTGACAAATGGAAAATAAATGTGAGACACTTCCAGGTCTATGTGTGTGAGGGGTAGTTGGTCAGGGCCTCGAGGGATACAGGATGGTTGATATGAAGAAGGGAGGACACTCCACCTGAGACCTGGAAGGTGAGTAGAGTTTTATCAAGTAAATGAACCATTTTGCCAGGTACAGAAGCTATTCTGGGCAGACAGAATTAGGCCGTAAGAGGGAACACCATGTGCTGAGGACTAGAGATAGTTCATTGTTACTAGAGCAGAAAGGGTAGGAAATGAAAGAAGAGAGTTAGATAGGGGCCAACCTGAAGAAAACTCTGAGTAGAGGAGGGATCTCGTCACATTTTCGTATTAGGACAAGTAGAATAAACTCCAGATCGGAGTTCAGGAAAATTGTTGTAGGGAGACAGTCTGGGAGGGGTGCAGGCAAGAGATGCTGATGCCAAGACTTACGATTGGGATAGGGAAGAGGTATTAGGGTAGTTCCAAAAATTGGTTGGGAGATGGAATTAATGAATATTGGCACGTGGTTTGATGTAGGGAGTGAAGACAGGGATGGGTCGAATTTCTTGTGGAATTGGGGCTGCCATTGAGTGAATAAGTCATCATTAATTTTGTGGGGTATCCTCGAGTTTATATCTACTTGGCTGTTGAATCGAGAGGGTAGAATTGGGAGAGAAATCTGAGTCCAGCTTAGGGAGATGTCAGTATATGGGGCTGTTAAAGCCTTGGGTATGGATACTCCTTCTCAGAATCACTAGTGTAAGGGCCCACATGTCACCTCCACGAACACCTCTGCTAGGGGGTGGGCAGAGGAAGCTGAGGCCCCAGGGAAAATGAAAAAAGAGGAATCAGGAAAAAGTTTTTGTTTCTTGAAACCAAAGGAAGAGAAACTTTCAAGGAGTGTCAGATGCCTCAGAGAGGGTTATGAAGTGAAGGACTAAAAAAAGGCCATTGGATTTAGCATTCAGGGTTGTACTGACTCTGTAAAAGCTCCTTTAGCAAAGAAGCGGTGGGGAAACCCCCAGATTATAGTGGATTGAGGAGTTTTGTTTACTTTTTTTAAAGGTGGGTGAGACTTGCAGGTTTAGAGGCCAAAGCAAAGGAGGAAGGAGAACGAGAGAGAGGATGTAAGAGAGATGAGAGGGGAATGTGTGGAGTGAGATCTGGGAGGAATTCGGGGGCTTGGCCAAGAATAAGGACTGTCAGGAGGATTATCCTTGGGAAGGAGAGGTAGAGACCCTCTGCCTCTGAGACCAGAGGGAATAGATGCTGATTTAGCATGTGTAGGGCTTGTGGAGTAAAAGAAGCTGAATGGAGTGCAGGCTTGATGGCCTGTAATTGTTCTTTGAAGCCAAGTAAGTCCTTCGATAAAAGCCCGAGGCATGGAAGGAATTGGGTGGGGCCCTTAAGCCAGGAACTGAAATTTGGAAGAGCTGCTGTGGGCAGTGGCAGAGGGAGCTGACCAGCAGAATGTGGAACTGCTGAGTGGTTTGGAGAGTTTGGAAACCATCCATTTGTAGTGGCACCAGTCCACAAGGTTGTCAGATTTCCTCCAGCGGAACTCAGCAGCCCACTTACGAACACTCAAACATTGTTGATTGAAACTGAATTTAGAGATGCTGTGAACCTAGGATGGGATAAGACAGCTGTCAAATCCCATGAATTCAAATCTGTAGATGACAGAATAGGTTCAATATTCTATGAATTTTAAACTTAGCAAACACTATATCTCAGGTGCTAAGTACACATAATTTGTTCCCTACTTAGTGTTTCCTGTTTCTATTCAGGAATATTCTGTACACAGTCATGGCACCCCCCACCCCCAACACACATATACACATACTACATATGATATGGTTTTAATTTTCTGAGTGCCTATTATATGCCTGGAAGCGTTGTTATTTCAGTCAGGTTATATCATCTGAGCAGTAATGATTTCTCAATTGGTCATGTAAGAATGTGAGTTTATTCCTTGATGAATGATGTTACTTGAAGAAAGATAAATGCTCATTCCCAATGAATTAGTAAATCTGAGGCAGTTCAGAGTCTAGTTTTTACAGGGCCTTCTCCATAAAACTCACCCCAGGTCTGTTCCTCTTTAAGGTTGGTCACCTGATCTCCTCCGCCTGACTGTTCTTATAGCCTCTTTTCCATTCCTTGTCCAGATAGTAATTATCACAGAATTTCATGGCCTTTTCCATATAATTTTGAGTTTCATGAATGCAGGGACTGAGTCTTACTTATCTTTGTATTTCCAGTGTCTCCCTGTTGCCTGGCACAAATGAGACACCCCATCAGCAGTAAGTAAATGGCAAATGCAGGAATGACTCATGTCCTCCTCCGTGGAAAGGCCCTGAGTGCGAGAGAGGACGAGGAAACCTCTGTGAGCAGTTACAATTTCCCTTTGCCTCTTCTCCCCGCTGCACCGTCACCTGGCTTACCTTTGACCGGGTTAGGAGCAGGTGTTTGCTTATGTGTGTGATATTAATCCCAGTTATTCTAGGCATTAGAAGAGCAGAAAAGCAGAAAATCTACATATAGTCTAAAAGCCCACACGCAATTTTTCACCAAAATTACTGATAGGCAGAAAATTGAGAGTTTTACATTTTCTCTTTTATTCTCTATGCTTAGGTTCTGTGGATAATGCATATTTAGAGTAAAGCCAGTGAAAAACTGGCCAGACATATCAGAGAGAAAGAGGAAAGGGATGTAAAGTTTTTTAACGAATGTCAGTAATTTTGATGTTTGCAGTCTGAACCATTTTCTCTTTGCTTGACCTTGTTTTACTTTTGCTCTTGAGGCTCTTTCCCTTAATTAGCTAGAGTCTGTTTTTAAAATAACTTTGGAGAAATTGCTGAATAATATACTGTCTTGCCAATAGTCTTATTGTCTTTTTGATTTGGGCTCTTTAAGTTATCTTTGTATTATAAACATCTTAGCCCTGAGAACTTTTATGGGTAGTGACAAAGATTAGGCACCAAGATTCAAGAAAAATAAGACAAAGTAACTTAAAATTCAAGTGGTAAGCAGTTAGAGTTTTAATCGTTGTGGGGTTTTTACCTTAGAAGTGGACCCAGATGATCTAATTTAGGCATAGATAGAGTATTTCTTAGCAAGTCATCTAATTTTCACTCAACCCAAAGTTAAATGCGGTGCTGCTCTTTAATTTGAAGTTTCATTTTGTTCAACAGATAAAGTATGAAATAAATGTATATGTGGTCATGTTAGACTACACTAGGAAGAGGGGCAGCCACTGGAAGCTGTGGTTACCAAACTGATTTTCTGACTCTCAGTGAAGATAGGTAATTCACAAGTCTAGCGCGTTTTCCGAAGCAGATAATTGTTAGGCACTGATAAGCTCTGGAATAATTAAATACTCTCATCAGTGTGCAGTTATCATCTATGGCAGCTTTTTAAAAAGTGGCATGCTACTTGACTCTCGTGCATAAGATTACCAGCAGGTCATCATGCCAGTTTTTAAAAACAGAAGGGGTTACGGGTGACGTTGCTGGTTTTGTGAACGTGGGTGGTAGAAAGATAAGGAGCGACATCACGCCATGGATGCAGAGAGCACGGAAGAGGCTTCTCCAGGTAATGTGAAGGAGAGAAAAATCAGCCTTATGCTGCTACCACGTGCTCTATATCATGTGCAGATTAACCAACTTCCATAGCGTTAGAGTGAAGTGAAATTCACTTACAAGAGCTTACCCTGAACATAATTATCCTTCTTTAAAAAATAACAGACATTTTAAGATTTTTCCATATTTCACAATGAATGTTATGCTTTTTATCATAGAGAAGATGTATTTAGTACATAGAGAATTCCAGTTAATGGCAACTTTTACAATACTACAGGCTAATGTAGAATTTCTGAGAATTCTGGTGGTTAATTTTTATTATCTTTTGTTTAAAAGATTGGATGGTGTTATCTGATCATCCAAATTAGTTTCTTAGAATTAAAAGTAAATATTACCTTTTCTTTATATATAAATGTAATTTTAAGTTTTAGTTTTCAAGTAATTAATATGTTAAAAGTAATTTCAAAATAACATCAACAATTCTGGATTTATCAACTTTTTTTTGTTTTGCTATATTAAGAAAAAGTGTAATGAACAAAAGAAGTTTTTCAGACTAACTTCGAAACATGAAGTTCCCTCTGAGTTTAGACCACATTCCTAAT